GTGTGACAAGGTGATTCTGTTGTTAGGAGATGTACTGATATCTGCTGAGATAACATAAACCTACTGTAACTTATTTGAAGGAACAAGGACTAAAACCGACCCAAGTACACTCAGGGGTGAGTGGAGAATTCTTGGTACAAGGTATAAACTGCAGCTCAAAGTATTCTAAAAAATATTTATTATGGCCATAGAGTGGGAAACTTAATAGGTTTTGATTTTGCCATTTTTGACAAACCCCTTGGTGTTCCCAGGGGAGAATATGTCTTTCTGCAAGCTTTGCTAACAACGTTCTGAAGGAAATCCCTTTATGGGTTTCAGGAGCACTTAAGAGGAAGATCACTTTATTAGCAGTATGCTTTACATTAAATTAATTGTACCTGGCAAGTGAGGAATTCTGTGATACTTAAGATTCCTTAATTGACAATATGTCTGCTCCAGCTTATGGTGATGATGAGCTTTTTCTACCTCTCAAAGCTTTGTTGCAGTTATTTGGGGTGGCAGATTTAGATCTGTACAGAGTTGGATTCAGTCACTGAACCCCAAACCCCTCCACAGGGTAGCATTTTTGTGTTGGGTAAATTCTGTTTCCTGTGCTCCCTGTCAATCTCCCTGCACAAAGCATGGGTCCTTGCAGCTTGCATTAGGAAGATTCAAATTCTCCCATGCTAAATATGAACAGAATAATTTTTGTCTTCAGAGGATTTATGCTTTTGCCTTTCCTCTGTCCCTTTTATGCCTTCTGTGCTAAAAGAAAATCACTACATGTGTGAATGTAGTGGTATCAACTTGAAAAAAAGTAATTGGCTTTTCATGGGACTTCTCTGCCTTGCTCTGCCATTTCCAAGTGACAGTATGTGTGGCCATTTTTTTTTTGTCTGTTTCTCATCTCCCTTTTGGAGATTTTACCCCTACTTTGCACCACTTTTATAGATCCAAACCCACACGGTTTTGATTTGGCAGAGAATGGCAGATTGCTAACAGAAAGGATGTGATGCTTGTTTTGGCATTTTGCTTGGTGTTTTTCATCTACATCTCTTGTTGCATCCATATTGAGCTTGGTTGTAAACTATAAACTATGCTCTATGGTTTTTTGGACTGATAACAAATCTCATGAGGTTGGTAAGGCCAAGTGCAAGGTGCTTCTGGAGTCCATAAGGGGCCACCCAGTTGATCAGAGGGATGGAGCACTTCTCCTATAATCAAAGGCTGAGAGAACTGGGTTTGTCCAGAGGAGGGGGAGAGGAGGAGGGGAGAGGAGGGGAGGGGAGGAGAGGAGAGGAGAGAGGAGAGGGACAGAGAAGGCTTTGGGGTGACCTAATTGCAGCCTTCCTGAAAGGAGCCTACAAAAAAATATGGACAGGGACATTTTACAAGAGGATGTAGTGACAGGGCTAGAGGGAATGGTTTCATAATGAAAGACAGTAGGTTTATGTAGGGGGATACAGTATGGGTAAATGAAGCTGGTATAGAATGTAATCTTATCCCCCAATGAGTTGCAGCTGGACCAATTACTAAAGATTAGGAGCAGGCCTGATCTTAACAGGCCACACCTGTAGCCAGTAAGAACAAGAGGTATGAAAGAGGGGTTTGGTAGGCTTTGGAGTCAGATGGCTGCTGCAAGGACCAAGAAGAGTTAGTGCTTAGAGGAACTGCCTATGGGGAACATCAAAGAGGTATGAAACTCTGAGGATATGGAACCCTTGCACTGTAATGATAATAGAACTCATGATATATAAGATAATAGGTTTATATTAAGTCCTATGAATAAATTATTTGTTCTGAGGGTGGTGAGGCACTAGCACAGGCTGACCAGAGAAGCTGCACGTGCTCCCATCCCTGGAGGTGTTCAAGGCCAGGTTGGATGGGGCTCTGAGCAGCCTGGTCTAGTGGAAGGTGTCCTTGCCCATGGAGGGAACTTGGAACGAGATGATCTTCAAGGTTCCTTCCAACACAGGCCGTTCCATGATCCTTGAGATGGACCTGCCCTCATGGCACTTCCATTCTCCTCTTGTCCAATTCAGATGAAGTAGATTTTTGGATATTTTTTCATTTGTCCTTTTACTCCAAAGGATTAATAAATCTGGGAGAAAATTAAGGCTTGTAGGTCTAATTCAATTTACATGAGATCGCTTTTACTGCCAGTATGTAAGAGCTGAATTGTGTAAGTATCTATATCAGTTTTAAAGCTCCTTTACATTATTAGACTGGTAAAAAGATGACTAATGAATATTTACCACTGGTAAACTGCAATGAAAGAATGAGTAGGAATCTTCATCTCTAAGTTACCTATTTTTCAATTGCTTCTATCTACAAAACAAATGCTCGTCTCCCCAACCTCCCCCGAATCCTCTTATATCAGTTCCTATGCTAATCCATTAGATGTAATTTAGGTTGAGGTCAGCTATTTTCATGTTATGCAAAACTTAAAGAAAAAGGCTTTGTGTCTTTTGGATTACGTGTAGAACAGCTGATTCTGAAAAGACCAAGTATCAGTTGCTTCATGGCTCTAATTTGGAATGGAAAACCAGAGGAAAGTAAACTATACTCACAGCTTCAGAATATACTAAATTAATCCATTTTCTACATATCTAGAGGTTTTGCTTTCAGTTTTTCCTTCTTCCTTGATTCTCTTCCAAGGAAAAGCTGAAACCGAGGTAGTAGTAAGAGGTGGTTTTGAACACTAATACCTTTCCCAAAACATCATCTTTCGTTAAAAGCTGCTGTGGTTGCAAAACAGTCTTGAAAACATGAACTAAGTGTAACCAGGGCAGAGATGTCTGCTTAAACTTTCACAGAGTCTGAAATAACAGCTCTGAGAGATGTGAGCCTCATCTCAACAGGGTGTTCTCTCATATGCCTTCTATTTTAAAGTTGAACTTTCTCTACTCTTCCTGTTCTTCCAGGCAGGCAAGGTTTAGTCACTGCGTGCAGTCAATTTACTCCAGTGACAAGGCATGTATTTACTTTGGGAAAGAAACCCTACCTTTTTTTCTCCAATTATGATAAAATGAAATCTAAGGGACTGAATGGTCCTATCTGCCAAGACAGACCCTAGTCCAAGAGTGGCTGGAACGGTATGCTAGATCAGCTTGACAGGCCGCCAGACTGCAAAAGTGGCAAGCATCATCAGCTTAAGAGAAGAGAGAAATAAACATACAATAGACTTATAAAATATTTATTGTAATTCAAAATACAGATTTATTGAAATCCTGGGTTTTTTTTGGAGGTGGGATGTTGGGAGTTGTTTTGGTTTTTCTTCTTTCTTGTACACCTCAAATAGAAACTTCTCACAAGTAATATGTCTCAATATTTGGATAATCATCTGATCTAAATTCAATCTTGTTAAAGCATTGGCCATTTTTTTGCAGAAGAGACTTTCACATTCTGTGTGCTTTGCAGTAGGTCTGGGGGGAGAGATGGAGGGCAGAAGAGAGGCAGGCACAAAGACAGAGGTACAGATGTGACTATAGTTGTGCCCCATATCCTTCCCCGAGTGCTTCTTCTCCTTTTGGTTCTGTAACATCCCTGGGTGCTGGATGCCTTGCTCTCCCCATCCCCTTGCTACAGCAGACACGGGCACTGCTCCCTTCTCTCCAGACTGATCCCACCAGAGAAGTTCAATTTAACAGTGGGTGAATTAATGCTGCCTGCTGTGAGGGCCTCTCATGGAACAAAAACATGCATTTAACTGTTTTTTTTTTTTTTTTTTCCTAAAAAACCCCTGAGCTACATGAAGTGCGTTGCTATATGCTAAGGATACAAAGCCCCAAGCAATTTCATTTACTTCAGTGGGAGTTGCAAATACTGGCTGCTAAAACACAGCCAAAAATTACCACAGAATGAGGACTGGGAAAGCAAGTACTTGAAACCTAGGACAATCCCCAAGCTAAGGTTATTGCTACAACATTCAGTTCTTTTTGGTGCACATCTATACGGTTTATTATTAGTTAATCTATGTCCTGTGAGGTGTGTAGGATGTGTAGTGAAGCCAAAACAATATTGGTTTGGAGAAGTTAATATTTGTAATTTCCTGACTTTTGAATATTTCATTTTTCAGCCCCAGTAATGCACTAATATTGTTTTATGTGTTTAATATATAATTGGCTTGAATTTTTTTCATCTTTTCAACTGTTGATATGATGATTAGCTTCTGGAGGAAGAGTGAAAAGAATGACGTTTTTTCTTTGGCCCAGTACCACAGAATCTATTTTATGCACTTTTTCATTACAGTGTTACTATGTTGGTGAGGAAAACTTGGTGTAGGTGGGAATTTGGCTGCTCAGTGCCTCTCAGATGAATGAGACTTGGAAGCCTCTCAAGGACGATGTTATTTTTATTTCCTTTCCAAACTCGAGGGAAGCACTCGAAGATTGAAAGCTTTTTCTGTGTGTTTACAGCACGGTGCGTTTGCTCCAGCCATCCCTGCTGCACCAGCTCTTCAGCAGTTTGGGACAGTGTTTGTTTAGCACTCGATAAAACAAAAAGCGAAGCAGATTACAGCAGGTTGAATTAACATTTATGACCTTTAGCACGAAAAGCTCCCCTTTCCTGCTGCGCATGAAGAACGTGAAAGAGCCGCTAGGATGTGTCAGTGCCCTCACGGGCCGGACCCATCCCGTGAGCGGTTTGAGCAGTGGGTGCAGGTGCCCGTGAGGGGACACCTGACGGTGCCCACGCGCTGCCCTGGCCCACCCGCCGGGGCTCGGGCCGGCTCCGCAGCGCACCTGCCGCGGAGGGCACGGACTGCCGCCCTCCCCCGCCGCCCTCAGGTGACACCAGCCCCGGCGGCTCCCCGGGCCGCCGCGGAGCTTCCTGGTTCCCAGAAGGTGCCGGAGCGGCTGCAACAGGAACTGAGAGACGGGGGAGGAGGCGGTGCCGCGCTCCGCCGCAGTCGCGGCCCGAGCCGGGGGAGCGGAGCGGAGCAGCCATGGGCCGCCGCCCGCCGCTGCGCTGAGCCGCCCCCGCCGCCCAGCGCTCCGCGGCCGGCGCTGCCCCTTCGCCCCTGCCGGGCGGGGCGCTTGTCCCTGGGGGCGCCGGGGCCGCCGCCGGGGCCCGCGATGTGACCATGGACAGCAGGTTCAAGTGAGTGCTGTGTTCGCGGGGCCGCGGCGGGGCTGTGGGGCGCGGCGGGCCGGGCCGAGCCGAGCCCCCGCGGAGGACAGGCGGCGAGCAGGCCCCGTGGCTGCCCCGGTCCGCCGGGCCCGGCGGGCGGGGACGGGAGGAGGGGGAGCCCACTCGGCGGGAGCGTGCGAGGGGCCGGGCGCGTCCGCCGCGGCCGCTGAGTGACAGCGGGAAGGGCGGGCGGGAGGCGGCGGGGCCGGAGCCGGGGCGAGGCGGGACCCGCAGCACGGGGGGAGCGGCGGCGCCCCCCGACCCGGCCCGCGGCGGCGGAGAGGAGGAGGAGAAGGAGGCGGCCGCAGCCCCGCCGGCCGCTCCCCCGCCCCACGCCGCCTCCCGGCCCCGCGGCGGCCCCGGCATCGCCCGGCGGTGCGGGGGACGCGCTCGGCAGCCGCCCGCCCGGCCGGGCAGAGGCCCCGGCGCCGGTCGGGCTGTGCCCGGTGAACGGGGCCTGTGCGGGGGTGGCAGCACGGTCCCGAGGCCGCCGGGCCCAGCAGAGCTGCCCGCAGTGCCCCTGCCCGCCGCGGGCCGAGGCTGTGACAGACATCCCTTTAGGAGGTCACAGAATTGTCAGGGTAGGGAGGGAGCTCTGCAGATCATCCAGTCCTCTCGCCTTGCCAAGGCAGGGCCATGTAGAGCAGGTGACACAGGAACACTTCCAGGTGGGTTTGGAACGTCTCCAGGGGAAGACTCAACGACCGTCCTTGGGCAGTTTGTTCACTGCTCTGCCGCCCTCAGTATGTAAAGAACTTCCTCACGTTCAGGTGAAACTGCTTGTGTTTTGGCTTGTGGCCATGGTGGTTGCGGACCACCCTTCTGTCATTACGGCCTGGCCGGTGCAGAAGAGGTTCTTGGGGTGTTCGGGAGCACTGCCGTCCGGGCTGCCCTCCGGCAGCGGCCGCCTGCTCCCGTGACATTGAAAGTGACAAGATGTTACACATGGGTTTCGGCAATTGACAAACACTCCGTGTCTGGACGCTCTGAGCAGGCTGGCACCGCGGAGCTGGCAGGGAAACGAGAGACGAGAGACAGGCTCACAATTCTCAGATTAGTTTGACACATTTTTGACACTTCTGAATGTAGTGGGATGTGAAGAGTAAACTTAGAAACATTTTCCTGCAAAAGCAGTTTTAGAGTACTACAGTGAAAGACAGAAGGCAGTACTACTTCAAAGACCTTTTTTTGAGTGTAACTCATCTAGGAGTTGAGTTAGAAGCGCTTATTTGGTGATTGTAACACAGACGGATTCACATTAAAAAACCCCAGCCTGAGAGGATAAACCGAAGGCCTAAGCTAGAGCAATGTCATGGAGAGATGTCATTTTTTTCAAATGAAGGATTTTTGTGGTTCAGTTTTCTAGGTGACTCAACCAAGCCTTATCAGTTTCATTCTGAACCTGCTCATCAGCTAGAGGAACAATGGACAGTTTAACACCAGATTAAATCTCCAATATCCTGCATTTACGGCTGCTGTAACTCAGACCAGAATTTCATCTCGTATACCCAGGATCAGTAGATAAAGGATTTCCCCAAAAAAATGCTTTAAAATGCAAGGGAAGAGTGTGATATGGGCAGGTTATGTCTTCATAATCTGAATTAGAGTATAATTGTGTATCTCAATTGATGATGGTGCTGAGGTCAGTGAAACCATGTACTGAATCAATTAATTTGTGACAGCTGAGTTTTTCCCTGGCTCAGCCTTTGGATTTCATTCAATACTTTATTTAAAGAAACAACAATGTTTTAATTTGCTGTATGCTTTATGTGAAGCATTCTAGAAACCTGGAACCAAGTCTTTTTTTTTTTTCCTACACTTAAATCTCCAGCTGATTTCAGTGGGAGTGTTACACAAGACAGGAGTTCCACTGTGAGCCTTTTATGTGGTTAAATAGATAATTGATATGGGTGCGGTTATACCGCTTGTTTTTAATATAAATAGCAGTGTGCTTGGTAGGCAGAGAGGGGTGGGTGGCGTGGTAATGGCATTTAGGCCCGTTTCGATGAATATGTAGTTTGGGATTAGGTTGAGTGTTAATTGCTGTTGGCACACGCAGTTTGTTATTATCATCAGGTGGAAGAGGCGCCGGCCGTCACGCGCAGCTGCCCTTGATGGCTACTGCAGATAGGGAGGCTCCTCTTCCTGGCCAGCTCGGGCTTGTGGCCATCCCCACTTCGTGCCCTCGTGTTGGCTCGCAGTGAATCACGCCTGAGGTTCAGCCTTTAGAGGCCCAGCTGGCGATCAATATCTGCTGAAAGAGGAAGCCGAACGAGTCTCGGCCTTGGAGTGGTAATCAGGTGCATTTAAAGGACAGCGGCTAAACGCAGGGCGTTTAAATGGAAGTCTAATGATGGGCTATTCCTACTTAGTAGAAATTAGACATAGCTTTAGAAAAGGCTGCCTGTGACTCCATTAATGTTGCAGATGGATTGATTGATAAGGAGCTTAGTAGCTCTTTTTTCTTAACTGTTATATGAGGTATGGTGAAGCGACTTAAAAGCTATTTGATATATAAGGCAGTGACAATAAAATGTAAATAAGTCACACAGTTTAGCTTGTTTATCTTTCTTATTCCTTTCTTAAGGCTGTAAAGGGAAATGTGACTTTTTGGTTCTTCCTTAGAACTGAGTACTAATTTTGTTTTAATAATATTTTAATTCTATTTATTATTCTACAAAAAGAATGGAAAGACTATAACAGTAGAAATAAGATCTGTAATATGTATATGATAATTGGTTGTGTTTGTTTCTTCTAGGGAAAATCCAGAACGTACCTTTGATTTGGTACTGAAAGTAAAATGCCAAGCTTCAGAAAACGAAGGTAATACACTGTGCCTATGATATTTATATAGAGAAATGAGAGCTGGAAAAAAATACTTGGCGTGCCAGTCTAGTGTTATTTTGTACTTTGAATTGCTTTTGGGCTGAGATTGTGTTAGAATGTGCCTATGATTAGTTTTTTGCTTTTTAAAATCTATTACTTTGTAGTTGTTGTGGGGTTTTGTTATGTTTTCATTTTAGCTGTTGTAAAAATATTTTTGTTCTTCGTGACATATTTGCAAACCTTGAAGTGTATTTTCTACTCTTAAAATGTTGATTTTTGTGTAAGATTTCATTTTAGAAGAGCAATTGACTTCTGTCTATGAGGGGAATGTTAATTTTGATCAGCGTGATAGAGAGAAAGTAAGTTATTTTTGTGAAAAAAATAGGAAGAGACTTTCTTTGTAGGTCATGTTTGGCAGCTGCCCTGGTTTGCTGCACCATACAAACAGCAGTGAGAGCTGCCTTGAGCTTGTATCAGCCGTCACTTTCACATCTCTATAAACATGAGGTAAAAGAGATGTAGTAGTGCAAGAGTTGTCTGAGAGAGGCTTTTTCCCCTCCCCTTGGGTAAAAAGAAGATGGGCTTTCCAGTACTGAAATTAAAGTGACCTCTTGAAAGTCCACTGGGGGAACTGGGTTCATGTTCTTATCCGAGGTTGTTGGCCTTACAAAAGCAAAGGGAGAGGAGGAGTCTTGTCAGGGTTGTATTGTAGTCATGTTAGTCTGTGACAGCTGTGTCTTAATCACAACTATAAAAACAATAAACTACATCTTAAAACAGACTATATTTCTTGTCCTACTGTGCTAATGGATACTGTTTCCAGAGTTTACTACTTTAACAAGTAAGAGGCCTGTAGAGGTTTATAGCCTCAAACTATTCCTTGTTTTTTTTTTATATTTCAGACAGCGTTTCTGTAGTGAGTTGTCAGAATGTGCCTAATGTGTTGGGGAAAAAAACCCTTTTTGTTGAAGCTAAACAATTGTGGGCCTTCAAGTCTTTTAATTATTTTTGTTGCCAGCCAGCACCCTCCAGTTTATTGCCTGCTTTTTTGATTTAGTGTTGGTATTGTCATAGTTCGGCAAATCAGGTGGACTTTCCTAACTATGATCATAGTTGTGGCTTGGATCACATGTGCAGCTTTTGCCTTAGTGATTTCATACATGATGTCTGGAAACCCTATTTAGCTACTTGACTTTGGATCTGCTCCTCCTTGCATTGTGTTTTTAGTCTCTGCCCCCACCCAATATCCCTTCCTGGGGGCCTGTTCATATCTTGGCTTAGGCCTGGCTTCAGGCTGCAAATTCTATTCCCTTTCTTCCTTTCCCCCCTGAGAGCTAGACTGTTGGTAATCCTTCCAGGTCTTCATCTTGAAATCTTAAACAGTGTGGGCTTTTTCCTTCTGTGATTAGAACATGGATCTATATCCTTTTAATTCCTTTTATCTTCTGTTTAACTTCTCATTTTTCTTGTGCATCTTTCTGCCACTGCTGCCATAAGAAACCACTTCTCATTGCTTGCAGCTCTGTTAATGACTGACTGCCTACACCTGAATTTTGGTCCTAGGCACTTCCCTTGTCTCTCTTGCTTGGTAGTTTTGCTGTTTATTACTTGTCCTCATGGAGAGAAGCATTATTAAGACATCTGTGTGTCTCCTTGCACTGTGACACAAGTTAATGTGGGGACTGTTTGTGGTTGCACTCCCTGCTATTCCCCCTTTTGTTACAATTGCCTCTGTGCTCTGTGGGCTCAGTTGCTCTTGGTTCATGGGGTGGCCAAAGACAGGAAGGGGGTTTGTTACCAGTAATATTTTGGAGTCTGCAGTGTGTAACTGGTGAGAGACTCAAGGGTCTTTAGCTGGCCTGTAGCTTGTGTTAATTCTTGCATGCATCCAGATCAGGACAAAAGTACAGTCTCCTTTTGCCAATCTAACAGTGCTGGCTGAATATTCCAGTTACCATCCTGTTGTACTTGGTGACCCATCTGGGATTTGTTTTAATGTCTTTCATATCATATCTAATTCAGATAACAAACTCACTCCAGTGAGGGCTTGACATCGTATTTACATATGGTATTATGAGCACAGTGATGTATCAAATTAATATATCTGAATGTTAAAGTTATCTAAAGGAAATTCACAAGGGACAAAAGTGTATTGTCTTCAGTGCCACTTTAGAAATGGAGCACAGGGCTTGTCATGCAAAACAGGGAGCTTTCAAGGTTGGTTTATTATAAGGCCTAACAAATTTGACAGTTACCCTGTATTGTAGGTCTTGCCTTTAAATAGATTTTCATGCTAGGATAATCTTTTGAATATATCATACTTGAAAACACGATCCATTCACCTGGTTCTTTGCTCATGCCTCTTTTTCTTATGAAAGAGATTTGTGTTTAAATAGGGGCTTTCTCCCTCGCATCCCATCTGCTCCTTGTACTTGATCCTGAAGCTATGTCAGGACTGAATTTGTGACATCACTGTCACCAGTGTTGCCGTGGAAATATCACAGCCACAAAATTATGATCTCCCTGCATGAGTGAGCAGCAGGAGAAGCCGACTTAGGAGCGAGGAAGACCTTAATGTGACCTGTGTATCTCTAAGCTTTTTCTTTTCAAGCTTTGCTGTAGTCTCTGTTCTCCTGTATTTTAATTTCCCTGTGCCAATGTATAACTGTTCTAACAAATCAAAATGGAGGTGGCCGTACTGCATGTGGAGCTCTTAGCAAGATGTTTTTATGAGGATTCTGCATGCCTGTAACAGTCTGACATGATAAAGAATTTTGCTGTTAAAATTGTTTAATGCTTTTGTAAAAGTATTTTTTCAGAACTTCTTAATTACAACATAGCTCTCCAGGAATGTCAGTTTTTCAGACTTTACATTGTCCTAGGACTGTTCCAACTGTAAAGGATCATACATTCATGAAATGGAGCAGCATATAATTTCTTACATGTGTTAAGAAATTTGTTCTTCAATTATTCCACTAATTATTTTCAACAGAGGTGAACCCTTTACATTGAGTAGAACCCAAAGAGATTTCATCTAAGTTAGTATGAATTTATCACTTCATGTTTGGTAGGTAGCTCTTGAATTGGTTACAGGCTCAGTTGTGCTAGCATGTACTTATTTATAGGCGGATCAAAATTTTGTTTCCCACTGGATACATGGTTTCTGGATTTTTTGTGATTTAAGAGTAGCTTACATACTTGAAGAATATTTGTTACTCTGTTTTAAACTACAAGAATGCATAGTAGCATTGCTAGAACAGTGATCTTCCAACTCTTTCCTAAGACAGGAGAGTTAAAAAAAGGATATTCTCTACCTAAATATTCTCATAATTCCCTCAACAGTTTAGGATAAATGCTTACTTTATTTTTAGAGTAAATCTCCAAAGAGGAGACAAAACCCTTAAAACCAACATGAGATTGTAGCCCAGATCATAACTTTGGGTCCTTTGCAGTGCTGAGGATAGCAAACATCAATTAGTAACTAGTTGATGTGACAGCTTTTACTTAGGAAAATTCATAACCCATTTCTTGCAAGACTTTTGAGATGAATTAGCTTCTGTTCAGCAGCGTTTGCTAAGTGACTGGGACAGAAGTGCTAAGCTATTCTAACAGCCTGGTATTTGCTAATTGTGTATTTGGCTTGCAATGTGAGTAGCACCTTACAGAAAAACAAGTTTTACACTGCCTTCCAGGCAGTTGCATATTTTTGTAATTCTTTTCTGTGTTATTCCTTAATGAACAGTGAACAAGAAATAGCAAAAATGTGTGCTCCATTTAATATCAGCAGCAGGCCTTCTGTATTAAATTTTCACTTACAGACCCATAGGGCAGCTTGATAACAGATACTATCAAAACTGGTCTGTTATTTTAAGGACAAGAATTTCTCTTTGGCTTTAGGGTGAAAAGCTTTTTGCACTTTGAGCTGAGTCACCCTTACTGGGTATCAGGAGTGAAGCAGTGGTTCAGTTGTCCCAAGTGCACAATCTTACATAAGGCTATTGCTCAACAGCTGCACCTACAGCAGCTTTACTCTCCTCCTGGAACTCTTTTGTCCCTTGAAAATTACACTGCAGCTGGCACTGGAAGATGAGTTGGAGCCTAGGAATTGTCTGAATAAAGCTGTCTGGAGCAATTTTTTTTTTTTTTGTCGTCCAGATCCTTCTATCATGAAAAGTAAATTGAATTTCTGAAAGGTTGATGTTTCTGAACTTTTCCACAGGACATGTCCCAGTGAATAGTGCCATTGTAATCTCTGTGAGGAGTGTATGTTTATCTGTGTATCTATGAGCACACAAGCATGCACAGGTTGTACATACACACCTCTAAGTCTGAGCAGTGGGTTTGAGTTAAATGGGTAGAGAGGAAGCTGGCAATTTAACTCAGTCTATAATTTTTATATCCTGTGCATTGATTCTGTTAAAATTGGATTGCAGATGCAAAAGGCAGTGCAGATACAGCAGCCAGCAGTAGAAAAGCAATGTGCAACAGCTTCTGTGAACATAAAGTTTTCAGTGTTTCTGTCCACAGTTTGCTGAGAAGATGACTCAGACTGGTTTCAGTGTGGTTAAGAGAGTGCTGTCTGCTATACCTTCTTTTTCTTTGATTATAGCACATTAAAAAAAACAACAGAAAGGCTCCTTAGAGGCTACAGGTAAATCCAGAAAAGTCAACTACTGAATTGTGGTTTGGGTCTGAAGCAGTCCTGACTGTTAAAGTTTTACTTGAAAACCCTTTTAATGTACCAGTTCATTTTCTGTCTAATCTAAGAATAATTGTTGGAACACCCTTGAAACTTGGTTTCTTTGTCTCTATTGCTTTTTTAAATGCTAAGAAGTCTTATATAGCTCTAGGGCTAGACAATGTGATTTCCAGAGAAGGTGCTAAATAGTTTGTTGAATTGCATGAATAACTCCTATAGTTTATTTTGCTTCTGCCAGAATGATAGTAAATCTTAGTGATGTGTGATCTCCAAATGATTTTTCTTTAAAGGGCCTTAT